GCAATAAGAATATCTTTATTATTCTTTTCGATTTATATGGTTTTTTTTTTTCATTTAGCAGAGAATTCAGAAAGAATTAAGGAATTGATCGATTTAACGAACCGGAAATTGTTTACAAAAAAGTCATTCGTATGAAATTTTTAAATTGAATAACGAATAATAGATAATCTATAATTCAAGTTATTTGTAAATAAATTATCTGTTCAAAGGTAATCGAATCAGAATAGCGAATAAAGTTTAATCTATTATTCGTGATCTAGATAAAAATTTATCCCAATAACGCCCAAAATTGATATAAAATCAAGAGATTGATCATATTTACTGCAACTTAAATGAATTTGAGGTCACCGAATGTGGGCCCCTACCGTTCCGTATTGGTGTTTATTTGTGTGTGTTTGAATAATGAATGAGCTCCACAGTATCAATTGATCCTAGGGGTATATTAGCGGCAATCATCCCAACCATAAATACCTTCTAAGTTTTCATATTTTTGTTGAGAGAACCATTCTGAGAATATTGCATGATAATAATGATTCCGATAAAGTAAGAAAATAATAATATTAGGGGAAGAAGGACGGATAATACAAATGGCGAAAAGATATTCTTTTATTAGAATGGGAACTTTTTGGAGTTTTCCCGGGTGTATTATATGTGTTAAAATAATTTTGATACCGCTTTCCTAGTTTAGAAGACAGTTCTAGCAACAAATCTAGGAAATAGAAAAAACTAGACATAGTATAACCCTATGAATTTATGCCTAAATACCGTTGGATTCAGAATTTCACAGAGGATTAGCGAATCGTACTCTCCGCGTTTGTTTTTCTTTCTAAAATAAATAATGTCAAAATAAACATTTTGCTAGGCTTCAATACTGAAACAGTGGTAAATCAGTTGATCGATAAAGGACAAATTGAGCTTTGAAGATTTTGGAGCTTCTTCAAGAACCAAATTGTTCCTTCGAAACTATCAGACCCTGCGTTTTCAAGCTCAAAAAAATATCATTTTCGAGATAACGGAATGCAAAGGGAAGGCATCCACACAATCTCACGTTAGTTGAAGTGCTGCCATGAAATGCATGTCTTATTTCGTCGATCGTTCCCTATGATTAGATGATGAGAGAGGAGCTTATATTATTTATCGAAGGTTTTTTTTGTTAGCATCTTCGTTAATTCTTCATCCTAATGTTGCGCACCCCCCCATTATGGAGGTGTCCTTCAGGCGGGAAAAATCCTGGAAAAAAATGTCTCCTAATCTAGCCACTTCTTGTAAAGTTTAGCGGAGCTCAGATCTTGTCCGCAGATCGGGTCTCGTAGTTATTTGTGGTAACTGTTCCCTATACCAAATATTATCTTTACGTAAGATTGAGTTAAGGAAATTTATGTGAGCATGAGTAGAATGGAACCTATAAAACAAATTCCAACTTGCGGTAGTAGGTTTTAATAACCTGACATTATTCAACGGGCATCGCTCCTTCGGATTACTATATATTTCGTTCTCTTCATAATCTTCTACAAGGAAAATCCTATTCTGGTTTGCAGACTTTAAAAAGAACCCTTCATCGTTCTTAGGACATAAAGCCAGTGATTAAAAAAAAAAAAAAGAATCGAGCTGTTGGGAAAGGGTAATCACTAATGGCGGTTATTCAATTAAATTTATATATATATAAATATATTAAATTATATATATATATATATATATATATATATATATATATATATATATATATATATATATATATATATTAAACTCTCAAGGAATTTTCATTACTGTCAAAAATTTTCTACAAACTTTGTATGGAACTCCAAATTTGCTCATTCGTATGTTTAAAAATTATATATTTTATTTTTTTTTGCTGATATATATTTATTTATTAATGGATAGATTTTATTTTTTGTTTCATACTCCTAGTCGACCAGGTTGGAAAGTCAACAAAAAAAATTAATACTTTGTACGCTTTGAAAGCCCAATTAACCGATATGAAGGTCAAATTATTTATATATGCGGTATAGGTTCTATAATACTTTCAATAACTATCGTGCGAAGGTTTCCCTTCCATTCTCTACTTTGCTAAGATAAGGTGTTGACTTACGTTTTTACTCAAAATACCAAAAGCACCCCGTCAATCTAGTTTCTCCGCGATAATTTGTATGCAATGCAATGTCCTTACATATCGCTTACTAGTTATAACTATTTCAAAATCTTCCTTAAAGGATTTTAAGTTCTTTCAAAACCAATCTCGAATATTAAATCATGGAAAGCGCCATGGACGACTGCCACAGATGGGCAAATGCTAGAGTACGCAGTACCAAGTATTTTAATTAAATTGAATATCACTATTGAACATTCAATCACTACTTCATTTAACCGTTTGACATCAACTGAAGTAGTAATTAAATTCATCGGTACTCAAAAAAGGGCAGTATTTGAGTAAAATAATTGGTACTCAGTACTCAGAGTAGCATTTGCCCATCTCTGGCGACTGCATCAAACAAATGCTCTATCAGTGTCCAACCGATTGCTTTGCAAATCAACTAGATATTTAGCGCAGCTTTGCAGTAATCTCACGGTCGTATCAAAGGCTCGACGAGTAATCTAAAAATCTATCCTAATCTGTAAAGATTTCTTCTCTGTTCCGAACCAAATCTATTTCGAAAATCCCCTTGGTCGGAAATTTCCCTCAGAAATGGAGTTGTAATCCTTTGAGATCCGTTCCAGATTAGAATATTGGAAACAGGTGGGAACGATCGTAGATAATAAAGCGTCGGAGAGGATTTAAATTTGTAATTAATGGAATCTAAATTACTTGTAGCATCTGAATGCTTTTGCTTATTCCATCATCCTAAGGATCTGAAATAGATTGAAAAAGGGTGAGGATATAGAAGAAAATTCATATTTTATCAGCAATCCTTCTACATCTATACAAAAAAAAAATTATAATAATAAAAAAATAGTTGGCCTATATAAATTAACCCAATGTATTATGAGTAACTAAAACATACGGAACAGCCAAAACGACCAACATATGAAAACTATAAATCTTTCAGTCAAAAACTGTTAGCACTATAACTAAAGCTCCATTGTACGTCAAAAACATTACTTTACATTAAGGTCTAAACATGCCAAAAGTTAAAGATCACAAACGAAAAATTTCACAATAACTTACACGGACATACTAACTCACTGATACTAGACATGACCACGATTAACACGTCCGAAAACACGCTTCGGAGGCTCAAAATAAACTGGAGGAGGGATTTCCTCTCCTAAAAAATATACTAAATTCAAGTCAAGAAGGGATGCCGCTGGGCACTCCTTTCCCTCACGCCGATTGAGCCACTATTAGTATTTACCCCGACGGCAGACTCTTTAATTGTCAGTACTTCTGAAAGGTGTGGGTAAAAAATAAAGTTAAAAAACATCCCAATTTTGATTAGTTTTTGTACTTTTGTTGGGAATTCACTTACTTATTGGATAATCATGAGTGTAATCCACCATAAATTTAATAATTTTTGAGTTATGCCCAGTTAAGGTTATTTAAACATTTTTTCCTGAAATTGTGGGCTAATGTGTCAATTTCCCACCTAAAAGAGAAGATAATCTTGAGAATGACGGATCATTCATTGGATTTGAAGAAGAATTGACAAAGATATGGTTTACCCACAACCCCTTCCCCTCCAAAAAAGCTATTGTTAGTGCAAAAGGTAGTATGTAATTTTTTTATTTACAGAAGAGCCAATTATTTCTTTATGTTTTAATAGTATAATGTCAACTTCAGCTCAAAGAGCATAAACATGTAAAATTGTTACTTACGACCTTTTATAGTAACAGTGGGTATATAGTGAGTATTTTTATGTGGTTAGGAATTCATGGCAACAGTGGCATCAATGTGATTTATAATCGCTAGTATAAGGAGCCAGTAATACTCAACCAAATTCCATCATAATGTACGCGTTAAAAATATTTTTTTCCGTTTCGATCCGTTTACATTTAAAGCTACCTGTTTTGAAAACTACCGAAATTTCAGTGACGATTATTGTAATTGCTTGAAGATTATAAGTTTTCAAATTATGATTCGGCACGCCCGTCTAATTCTATTTTATTTGATACATCATTTATCAAAATCTATAGCTTCTGAGAGCCGGAAAAGGCATCTACTGCATTATATTTAGTGCTGAGAGCAGTTCATATTATATAGTTATAAAATATATATATACATACATACATAAATATAAATATATATATATATATATATATATATATATATATATATATATATATATATATATATAATATATATATATATATATATATATATATATATATATATATATATATATATAAACACACACAGCAATGAAGATAAATATAAATAGAGAATGCGAAGGAAAATTAATAAAAGTAATGAGAAGGAGTAGGTCGGGGGGTGCGGTCAAATAAAATATTATTTTAGTTTATAGTATTTATTTGACCGCGCCCAGGTCTAACTCCTTCTCATATTAGTATCACAGTCAACCATCTCTACAATAATGTAAAAAAAAAAATGGCAGGCATTATATTTAATTTATACAATTTAGGATGTACTTACTTAAAAAATTCAAAGTAAAAGATAAAAAATAAATTCAATAATATCTTTAAGGTTTTAGAAATAATAAGGTTAACATTAAAATTTATAATTCATGTTTTTTTCTGTTGATAGCTTCATTCCAGAAGCTCTACATTTTTTTTATCCATAATTTTTCTTTATTGAGATATATTACAATCCATCGCATTGAAGGACAATAGTAATAGTGATATAAGGTAGCTCGTACATTTAAAAAAAAAAAAAAGTGATGTATTTAAAATATATATAACATCTTTTGATTGTGTGGTAAAAAACTATTAATTGAATAACGACGTTTTGGTTCTCATTGCGGTGTTTCTTCCTGGTTGCAATGAACAAGATGCAATTAAAATGAACATCACATGTAAGTGGTAGGGAAAAAACAAACAACGTAAATGACATGGAGATTCATCTCTGCTGCAAAGAGTCCATTGATCACTGCTTTCAATATCAGCAGAGCCATGTAACAAATCCCAGGAAGTCCTCGGGCCGGTCTCGCAGTAGCCCCTTCGTGGCCTAATTCTCTGATTGCCCTCTCCCCGTTCTCCTCCCTCCTCCCTCCTCCCAAACCCCGGGTGTCGGAGTAGAGGAGTTCTCACTGGACCTGATGAAAAACAAGGTTTACAACTAGCGGGGTGCTAACCCAATCATGTCAGGAAATTTACATCGCTTCACCTACTAACGAATCCTCTCCCTGTAAAAATGTTGTTACATTTTTCATCTCGCATTCCAGTATCTGCTAATCGCTCAACATCTGTTTTCATTCCAGTCCTGCTCAGAGCAATCTTCTCCTACCGCTCTCGGGATAATTGCTTTAACCTCTATCTAAATCAAGTAAATGAACTAAATTATTCCGATGGAAAAACAAAATTATAAAAACGAAATCTGTTCCAGGATTTTATTTTAGGATTAACGACGAAATTAATTAATAGCTACTTTAAACACACAAACTTGGTCAAAATATGTTCTGGAAGTATTTCTCTTCTAGTCCATCTCCGATTTAATTCTGAACTACTCAGAAATAGAACATTACAGGAAACGGTAACGATTGACAAACCCAACACCTAGAGGGGGTACTAAAAAAGTTGCTGGATGAGATATCTCATTTCGCTATCACAGATGAGGTGTTAAGTCCATCATTAGGTGTCACTGAGGAAATAACTTGATGTACGGAAATACTTGCTTACACCATTCTCTTTCTTATGTATTTATCTAATATGTTGTCAGGCTAAATATGAAGCACACAAAATAAAAAACCATGATTTTGAGTAAACGCAGAGCAAAGATTTTTTTTCCTTTCAACTTCTTTGGGTATGAGTATTATTAAATTAAGTAACAGAAATGACATTTTGTTTTTGTTAATACGAAGCTGTCTTGCTCTTGGATACTTATGGAAAGCTGATAACTCGAAAATCTATAATTTTGACTAATAATTAGTATGTTTCACTGTTATATCTCTTTTTTTTTCAGTTTTTATATTACTTTTTTCCTTTTCCTGTCGAAGCTATTTTGAGATTTTATGCTCATTTCCATTTTCACCCTCACTGACATTTTCATTTACCTTACATTATATTTCCAACTGATATTCATTTGTCTAATATTACTTCCTGGTTGATTTTAATTAATCATATAATCTCATCATGCTTTTTCGTTCCTTATTTATTATTCTAGTATTCTGGTTTTCTTAACCATGGGGAATTATATATCATTACTTTCTGTTTCTGTTTGCATTCCTAGTCATCTTCAGTTTTTTTTTTTTTTTTTTGTAAAAATAATAGTTTTAACTTTATAGCGATTATTTAACGATTAAAACAAGTCGCCATTTAATTGAGACAAAAGTGATTATTAACACACGTACGCATAAATAGAAAAGATTCGATAAATCACAGTAACAAGAATCTAGATTTTAAGTCATGGATAGTTATGAATGAATGTTATTCATAGATTCATAATTGGTAATTGGTTGACTGTCGTGGATAATGAAGAGAAGAATAGTTGGGGTGCTCAGTCAAAAAAGGAAGGCAAAAAATAATTTATAATATTTATTTTTTACATATGCCGACGTTTCGACCTGAAGTTCAGGCCTTCATCAGGGCTTTCTCCTTTAGTGTCAAGGGGAGAATGATTCTCTTATTTTGGCAATTTCACAGTTATTAGTTATTACATTTAATTTATTTGTATTTATTGCAAATATAGTGTGAATGAGTTTTTATATCTAATGTTATTAGTTGTAACACAATTAAGCAAGTACATAATTAAGCATTAAGCAAGAACATGTAGTTATTCTCCAATTTCGTATAAAAAAAAAATAGGAACAAACCAATACGAAACGTGTTTATAATAATGATACAAATGCATGCATAAGATGAATTTCGAAGATCAGAAACCAATTATCAGATATTTTATTAAGAATTAAATAAATATATCTGTTTATTAATGATAAAAAATGTCAATATGTCAATTTCCTAAATCCCAATTTAAAAAGTAAAATAATGTATTCTCTAGGTTAAAGATGAGAGCGATGGAGTAATCTAGTGTTCGACTGAAAGTCCTTCTGAAAATCAATGAAATAAATTAAATTAAAACCCGACATTTTTTTGTAAACCTAAATATACATAAATTAAATGTCCTCCACTGATACATTTAGCACTTAGTTATTGCAACTCAGACGAACGTCTACTATTTTTCTCTTAGCGAAGTACGAAATCATTTTACCTTTATTTTCTCTATATCAGATGATTTTATCATACTTAAGTTTTACAGAAATAGAAAATAGAGAAAGATTTATTTGAAACATTTCAAGTCTATATTGAAATCATATCTGAACATGTTTCCATCCCTTTCTCACCTCCAGAAATAAAAAAATATTAATGTGCATCTTGGAATTCAATGATACCAGTTCATATCTTAAGATTAATAAATTTTTTAATATTAGGGCTATGCAACATGAAAATAAAATAAAAACATTTAGCTGAGTTATCTGAAGCATTTACTCGCAGCAATATTACTTGTTCGAGATTTAATTTGATATTAAATACCCAATTCACTATCCAAGTCTCCAAACAAATATCTTCAAGGATTCTAATAACTTGGAGAAATTACAAGGAGTATTAAACTTTGGGATCAGGTATTTCCTGCAAGGGGATAGAAAATCTCATCTCCGAAAGGTTCTTTCACACCTGGGACCATTTACATTTATATACAACTTGAATTGAAATGATATCTCTCAATCTAATCGCTCCGGGATGAACTGTCTTTGGAAGAATATTGTATTTATATTTAAAATGTACAAGATACAAAACACTAATATACTGAAAAAATAAAAAATATCCAATATTAAATAATATATAATAGAATAAATAATAATCCTTTATTGAATACATAAAATATATGTTTCTTTAGGAACAAGAGTTTTTAACCTGTCATAATCGGGTTATCCTTTGATGACCACTTCATATCCTCAGTCTCAAAATTCTTTTTTCAAATGTTTCTTTCATGTTCAAAAAATGGATTTTTTTTTTCAACGGAATAAAATGGTAGCAATATCAGAAGTCTATCTTAAAAGCAAGAATAAATATCTCAAATTAAATTTTAAAAAAAAGTAACAAGTGTTAACGTCCTAGATGTGAGGATTAGTTGTAACCATGAGGAATTCATTATTATATGGTAGTATTTCGAATGATAGGTACTATTGTCAGTTATCTCAAATACTATTAGAATAATGTAAATAAGTAAAATAGGTTTGTCCCTTTAATTTATTGAGAAACGTCTTCACAACAATGTTACTTTAATATTATATTGCTGGAAATTAATTAAAAACATTTTTTGTGATACCAGCTATCTTTTCAGTCCATGTGTAAACTTGAGACATTAAAGAGCTGGCTGGATCAGTTTTTCTTCCAAAATTAAGGATAACGAATGTTATCTTTATTCTACTTAACATAAAGGAATTTCATTCATTGTTATAGTAAATATGCAATAAATTGTAAGCTTACAATTTTATCCGAATAAAAAGTAGCAAGTGTATTTAGGTGTGTAGAAAAGTGTTTAGTTTGACAGTTTGTTAGTATATAACGAATTTTTGAGTGAATGGTTTAATATACAAGTTCGGTAGCTTGATTTGTTCGGAGAGTTTCAGTGAATTATTTGAAGCATTATCGGTTCAAAATACTTAAAACATATTTTATTATATTTATAGTATTCTCAATTATTTGTTGATTTCATACCATGCTATATGTAAGTTCATGATGACAAGTTACGAATACAAGTTGCCAATACTTGAAAAATCAAAAAAAAGCTAAAATAAAAAAGGGGCAGAATCAACATCCTCATTCACTTATGTACAGTGGTTTCATATATGGGGAAATGATATTATAAATGAATATGAAAATCACGCAGTTTCCAATGATACAAAATCAGTTCTTAATTCAAAATATAATCCAGAATAAGTATGTATTTGCAGCGTTTGCCAAGGAGAGCAGTATTTAAACTTAAACAAATATAATAAGGTTTGAGAGAACATTACATAATGAAATAAATTAAGAGAAACACATCACAATTTTAGGGAATTCAATAACAATAGAAAACCTGATTAAATTTCAGAAACGGATAAATAGTCGACTGATCAATTATATGGATGAAACAATATTTTCAGGACATTCAAGATATTTTTATTGGGTTAGGCGACGTTTCGTCCCAAACATGTGGGTCATCCCCTTGGCTAAAAATTACAAAATATGAAATTACTTCAGTCAAATAATAAATATAACAATGTTAGAGTAACAGACAAGAGTGCAGAGTAACAGTAACAAGATAGTAAGTAATAAGAGTAAATAAATAAGATTATAGTATTAAAAGTAAAGAATAAAATCAGAAAAATGATAAATGTAAAAGTGTTCAATAGTGAAAACACTGAAATATGATAAGGAAAATATTTTGTGATACAAATAAATGAAAAGATAAGTATATCAAAAGTAAGAATAAAAAAAAAAATAGTGTAAACGACAAGAACAAAACAAGTCAATAAATAAGAAGTGTGTAAAAATAAAGTATTTAGATAAAAATGAACGAATATGAAAAAAAAAAAACTTTTCTCAAGGACAAATGGCTCAATATTTTTGCAGACCACCTTTTTCAAAATTTTTCGATCACATTATCTTACGATTCAAGTGGAAAGAAAACGGGTGTTGACGGTTTTTTAGTATCTGCTTAAATAGACAAAGTTTGTCGATCTCCAGATTGAAAAACGCTCCAATTCAGAGAATTTTCGTAAATAAAAATATTTAGTTTACGATGAGTTGAAGACATTCACGAAGTTAATGCCTTAGTTACGAAGTTAATTAGGCGGATGTTAATAATTTGATAAAAAAAGGTTCCGTAGCACGCAAAAAAAATAATGATCAAGCTGGTTTAAACGTATTCCTGATTAGGGAAATATAAATTTGAACATTTTTGTTATCGCATTCATATGAATTTGGGATGGAATATGGTTTTAGGCCTAAATTCCATTGAAATCCGACTTTATTAGAGCGGCGCTATACTTCACTTTATGGGCGCTATATCAGAGGCGAGCTGGGCCCTAGCCAGCGCCAGATGCCAAGGCGC